TCCCTCTCATTGCCGGTGATACCACTGGACACCGATAATGTGCCTCTCTCCCTACCCATTCTCTTTCACCCCATCTCCATATAAAAAGAGATACCAAGGAAAAAACCCGTTGAATTTAAACATAAGAACAAATTACTGAAATCGTCCCTATGGTTTGATCAAAATTGCATGTTTGGTCCCTAACTTTTTTTTTGCACTCGGACCGTCCTTGTAATATGATTTTGTTACGTTTTCATCCCCAACACGTTTAAAAAGACTATATTACCCTTTGTTTTTTATTTTTAAGTTTTTTATTATTTATATTACTAAAAAAACTAATAAAACATGTGGGCCCACTAAACTCTTTCATCTCCTCTAATTCCTACCCTAGATCTATCATCCCCTTTAACTGAAACTCATCGTCACTTTCCTCTTTCCTCTCTATAACCGGAGTTTTCGCCGGAACCCTAAATCTACACCACAACTTCCTTCATCTATTAATAAATCAAATGCAGGAAGTACCTCCCTTCGTCGAACCTAAATCTCTCAACAACCGTCGCCTTGGCGAGTGTTTTGTTCCACCGTATGTCAAAGAGCCACCCCTCCCCCACCGGAACCCACTCTAAACCCATGGACCACCATCTACTTCCTCTGTCTCATTTCTCTCATCCCCTCACTTCTCTCTACTCCCGATCCTCAAATATCGTTGGATTCCCCTGAAAGTGTTGGTGATTTTGATCATCAATGTTATTTAAGTGTAATGAGATTACTTTGTGTTGACCAAAAATGATCTTGATAAATATTAAACAAGTAAGGAAGGTGTGGAGTACATACTTGTTTAAGTTTGATCAAGTTTCAAAGTACACTGTCATTTAGGGGCGAAGCCCCTGAACGAACGGGGGTCCGGGGGCAGCGCCCCTGGGAGCGGAGTCCAAGGGGCGGCAGCCCCTGGCTGGAAATTTTTTTATATAGGGTATGTTACTATATTAAAAAAATGCATCAGAAAATTGATTTTCCAGATAATTGACCATTGGTTTGACCCTTATCCATATATCCGTTTTATGACAGTTTTTATGGTTTTATGACAGTTTAAAACTGTCATATGACAGTTTTCAGACAAAGTTGTTAAAAGTTGGTTTTGGTCTCATTTTCTGGTACATACGAAAATATCATCAAACATTCTTTGTTCTTGTCTCTCTGAGTCTTATCCAATTGAAGATTTGGGAGTACCACCAAATACTTCGATTTGAAAGTGATAATCACAATTCTCAGAATTTCCAAGCCTTTCTAAACCCAAATTTCTAACAGAAAGACCATCACTTCTCCTCCCTCTGCCCCTCTCCTTGGTAAACTCGAACCCTAACCGATACCTTCACCTTCGTTCGATTTCCCATCAGTGTTCAATTTTAGATTTGTTATTGAACATTGATGTGTGGAGATGGAGATAAGTTTTACCAGAGCCTCATATTTTTTCTTTTCTTGATGTTGACAGAGTGTTTCAAGATTTCATCAAGTTCGATTTCCATGTTGATTTTGATTCAAGTTTGATTTGTAGTTTGTACCAAGATACAAATGCCCATTTTATGTTTAATTTAGAGATTTGATTACATGGTTTGGTTTTATCTTTTTTTTTTTTGGTTTGATTCTAAGCTTTGAATTTAGTTTTGATCTATGGTTTTGGTTTAGTGTTGATTGTAGGTTTTGATTTTGTATACATTGATTCCTGATTTTGTTATAATTTCTTTTGATTTTGTGTAACTTGTGGTGGTTGCCGGAGATGAACCATGTTTGACGGAGGTGTTGCCGGAATGGTTATCGGAGGTGGACAGTGGAGGTGGGCGGTGGATGGGAAGGGAGACGGGGTGTAGAGTTGGTGGACCCAATTATTTATAAATTAATTATAATTCATTTACTTTAAGTAATTAATAAAAATAAGTAATAAAAAACAGAAAAAGAAAATACAAAGGGCAGTATAGTCTTTTTATCTTTACAAGAGATGAAAAACGCAAAAATATGATATGTTAGGGATAAAAAACGCAAGAATATGAAATGTTAGGGACCATCCAAGTGCAAAAAAAAAACGTTAGGACCTAACGCGTAATTTTACCCAAACCACTGGGACGATTTCAGTAATTTGTTCTAAACATAAATATGAGTTTGATATGTGAAAGAGAAATGAACTTAACAGAAACCCACAAAATAATGGTAAAAATCAACCAAATCGAATAAAAATTGGAACAAAAAAATAGAGAAAATATAAACCCGAATCGTCTTCTTCACCTTTCTTTGTCCGCAACTCGAGCTCGACGGACTGCAATGGTGGTCCAGTTGCTTCACCATTGCTACCACCAGGTGCTTTCACTGCTATCTTTGTTTTTCTTAACCATATTCACCATCATTATCGGAAGTGTAGTCGTAGGTTTTTGGATACCATAGAAACAGAGGGTGAGCGATGGGTAAAAGGGAAAGAGTAAACCAAAAAGAGGCGGATACAAATTATTCAGAAGGAGAAGTTGGCAGTAGAGAGGGGGTCGTCAGAGGTGATAAAGATTGGCTGAAGGTGAAGGATGAGAATTTGTTATGGATTGGAGATGGGTCGATATGTAGTTGAAGGGTTTAAACTAGAGTAATGAGTGTAGGGAGAGACAACCAAATTAGGTTAGGGTTTATCTTTTATTTTTCATTTTTCATATTTATTTTATATAATTAATAACAATAAATAAATAATTAAAAAAACATCTATAAGGGCATAGTGGACATTTTAAGTTATTTTGGGACCATTTACGTAACAAAATCAAACTGAAAAGATGATTGAAGTTAAAAAAATAAATTAGGGACCGTACATGCAAATTATCCTGAACCACAGGGACCATTCGTGTAATTTACTCTTTTAAAAATGTAGCTGGTTAAACATAATCTTAAATCAGTATGGATCGGGCTTTTGGCTCATAAAATTAAATTGGCCTTGTAATTGCAAAAAGATCGTATGATAACCCGATTCAAAGCTTTTCGCAACTGAAACATACAAATCGGTTCATATATGCAGTCATATTTGGCGCCTGTAAAATCAAGTTTTCGGGCGTCGGAGAAAGCGTAGGGATCCATGGAGGTTAATTGGCCGGAGCATGGTGTCCTTCAGGCTTCATCTGTGTTTGTTTGGCGCAATTATCCCTTTACCTGATATCTTCCTTCTTCGCCTCCTCCAGTATTATTACTCCTTTTATATTCTCAGGTTCTCTATCTGTATGCATATCTGTGTATGTGGTATGTGGTTGTTGCGTTTTTTATTTTTGCGATTTCGGATTAATTTTGAGGTTTTTCTGTGCTCAGTGATGACATTGATAGGGATGGCAGCATTAGGGAGAAGATGCAAGAGGTTATTTGGACTGCGTGGTTCAGCTCCTGCCTTCATGATTGTGAATCTATGTTCATTCGGTGTGCTTATGTGATTGTAATTCGACAAGGTAACCTCTTGATTTCAGTCGTCTGTTATGCTTTACCCCCGATCGCATTTGTCTTTTTGACTGTGTTTATTTAACTTCAAAATTGATAACCAAGCTAACAAGCAAATCAAACAGAGAAGTTGGAATCATAACATCTTCTTTCGTATTTATCCAACCAACTACTTCTCTGTTTTACATCCATCTCATCTTTATTATGCATATGCTGTTATGGGTAAAGATATGTAACTACATTGAAATTATGGTAAAAAGGAAAGTATATTTCCCATATTGGTAAAAAGAGTATGTGACCATTTACTGAATAATCTTTAATCATTCAGAGGAGACGATAACAGCAACAAAGTTTATAAATCCATATTACAAAGGAATTTTGCAGAATTTGAAGGAGTTCATTGATGCCAAAGGCTAAATGAATTGAAATTTATTGTTTTTGTAAATTAGTTAAAGCATCAAGTTTTAAGGTAATGTTCATAATTTTATCATCATCTTTAGTTGTATCTATTATTGAATATAGATTAATAAATTTCTTGAAAGTAAATAGTTGAGTAACACAAGGTTTTATTGCTTGACAAACAAGTTACACATTTACTTATAGTTGAAAAAAGAATAAGATCACTAGTTAGAGAGAACAATAGCATCCCGAATGACAAGGCAAAGGAGTCTTGCTTATTATGCCGTATCTGATCAACCATGAAAATTTCGTAAAACCCTTGACACCAAAATTAAGTTCAGTAAAATGCGACAAAAGTGACGAAAAATAGGTTTTTTTACACCAAAGTCATTTTTTAATATTTGGAGCACATACTGGGTTTTAAAAAAGATTTGGGTCGGTTTCAAAAAGAAATCATATTTTGATTAACAATTGTCAAATCTGATTGGGAAAAATCAAATTGGATCCAAACCGGGTTTTGGAAAAAATAATTTGAAAAGGTCAAACTAGGTAGGCATTGGATTCAAATCGAATCGGGTAAAACCAGTTAAAAAAACGATTTATTTTGTCTTTTATTAAATTTTCGATTTTAATATTGTAAAAAAGAAAAAGAAATTGCAATACATCTTTAACTCTAAAATTAGAAAAAACAAAGCGTGTCTCATAGAAATAGTGTCATCGTTGTGTTGGTAGTAATAGTAGGGGTCGTTGGTCGAAATATTCAATTTTTTGGAATTGTCATTTGTCAATTTATTCGTCAATGTGTGTACTTATTCGAAGGTGAGTTATCTATGGTAAGTGGGATCGACATTCATATAGTTATTTTTTCTTTATGTATTTGTTGTTTGACTATATGCTATCGAGTATACCCAAATCATAAGAGATTTTTTTTTTTAATGTAAACATCGTTTTTAAGTGGTATGATGAACCTAACACAACTAACATGACAACATCTATTTATACTAAGTGATGAGAGGCAAAATGGTCATTTTGACCATAAAGCAATTAGTGACGACAAAACAAAAAAAAAATCAAAAAAATGATCCTCCAATGGTAGTACCACAAATTGCAAAACAACGATCATATAATCAATCTGAATCCAGTATGATGTCTAGACCTTAATTCATACTAGTTTCTAGTTCAAACTGATTTTTTAATGAACATCTAATTTGTAAGATAACCAAGATTCGCAAAAAAAAAAAAAAAGGAACATATATTTTTAACAATTTAAGTTATTAACAATCAATATAACACAGTTTTTAACTACATATTATTATAAGTTTATATTTCTACAATGTTAACTTAATAAGTATAATATATTTTTTTTTCTATATCTCTTTCAAACTTTCTAATACTCTTGCATTAATCAAAACATTTTAATTAAAACCATGAAAATATTAAATACTCCTATTTGGTTAAAAGGAAAAAAAAAGTGATAGTTAAATCGAAAATATTACCATTTCTTTTCATGTAACTTTAAGTAGAATCAAATCAATTATCCTATTAACAGACACAGATGCGAAAAATCGGGGCTGTCGGTACCCACTTTTGTAAAAATTGGGAATCTCTAGATTGCCCGTCACCTGCCCGTTAACCTCCCATTATCTCTCCAACTTAAACGTGAAAAAAACCGCTACCACACTCTCTGCTCCACCATTATCACCACCACCCACCTTATCACTGGGTGGTTGCGGATGATTCCGGTGGACCTCCGCCACTTTTCTCCCTAGCATTTAAACCCTCGAAAAGATGGGTCAGGGGCTTAGTTGCAGGGCAAAAGACGAGCATTGGTTGTTCACAGCCGTGCAGTCCGGCGATTTGGAGACTGTAAGAAGTGTTTTGGAGAGAGATCCCGATCTTATTCAGCAAACCACCGTCAACGATCGCCATTCTGCTCTTCACATAGCTGCTGCCAATGGCCGAATCGAGGTCGGTAATTCAAGAATTTCTTCATTTTCTTACTTCATTTTTTGTTTTCCCTTGATGAATTTGTTCAATGTTTCATTATTTCATACAATGTGTCGATTTTGTGTCAGATTGTTTCTATGCTTTTGGACGATCAGTTAGTCAATCCCGATTCCTTGAATCGTCATAAACAGGTGTGTTTGGGTAGTCTCTGTTTAAATTACACTTCAGTTTTGGTTTTTATGTCAATTTCATGAATCAGATGTGATATATGGTTCATGATCTTATGGAAATTGGGTGATTTTCTTATTTCTCACCTTCTTCTTCTACTGATTTTGTGTAATTGCTAAGACTCCATTGATGTTAGCGGCAATGCATGGGAAGATTTCTTGTGTACAAAAGCTCATTGAAGCTGGGGCTAATGTATGTCGATTTCTTTCCTTTTTTACATACCTCAAAAAACGCATGCATGTATCTGTCTTCAAGATCATTGTTTCAAAGTCAAAAATGATGATACTGTTAACAATTTGTCAGATTTTGATGTTTGATTCACTGAATGGAAGAACATGTTTGCACTATGCTGCATTCTATGGCCACTCTGATTGTCTTCAAACCATTCTTTTAGCTGCCAAGACCTCCCACATTGCAGTTTCTTGGTAGACTTTCCTATTCTTTTTAGATTAATTCAAATTACTTTCTTTTACATGTAAACTAAAGAACTAGTGAAGTATAAAAGTAAAATTAATCATAATTTAAAATGGGTTTAAAGGGGATTTTCAAGATTTGTGAATATAAGAGATGGTAAAGGAGCAACCCCATTACACTTAGCTGCACGTCAACAACACCCTGATTGTGTTCATATACTTTTAGATAATGGAGCTCTTGTTTGTGCCTCTACTGGTGGATATAGGTAATAAGTTTTCCTAAACTTTCTGAATTTCAAGATTTTTTTTTTTTTTTTTTTTTTTTAAATGAAAACTAATATTGATTTACAGCTTCCCTGGAAGCACTCCACTTCATTTAGCTGCGAGAGGGGGTTCAATCGATTGTATCAGAGAATTATTGGCATGGGGTGCAGATAGACTTCAACAAGATTCATCTGGGTAACACTTGTCTTCAAAACCATTTGCAAATCCTTAATCTTTTCAGCAAAAAGGTTTGATTTTTATCATCTTTTTAAACCTCAAAATGCAGAAGAATTCCATACATGGTTGCTTTAAAGCATAAGAACGTAGCATGTGCAGCATTGCTAAACCCTTCATCAGCAGAGCCTCTGGTGTGGCCTTCACCATTAAAGTTCATTAGCGAGCTTCATCAAGATGCAAAAGCCTTGTTAAAAAAGGCTCTAATGGAGGCCAATAGGGAGAGGGAGAAAACAGTCTTGAAGAGCACCAGTCACTGGGTGGTTTCATCTCCATCACATTATGATTCCGATGGTATAGATGACAATATCTCTGAGGTAACCTCAAAACTTAAGACCTGTTTGGTATGATGGAATGGAATTGGTGATTACATTCCATTATCAAGTTTAGTCGGCTTGAAGGATTGAAACGAGTCATTCAAACATGTTGTTCATTGTCATTTCAAAAAATTGGTAATTTTAGTTTTTAATTTCAGGGAAGTGAAACGGAGGTATGTTGCATATGCTTTGATCAAGTATGCACAATTGAGGTTCAAGATTGTGGGCATCAAATGTGTGCTCAATGCACTCTAGCTTTGTGCTGCCATAACAAGCAAAATCCATCAACTCCGCCAGTCTGCCCCTTTTGCCGGAGCAAAATTGGGCGGTTGGTGGCGGTGGAAATTAAAGCTGCCCATCAAAAGGATTGGAAATCAAGAATGCCTACAAGCTGCATTGAGGAAAGCTGTGGGCTATCGGCTGTATCCTCATTTGGAAAAGCAAGTAGGATTGATCAATGCATTGATAAAACATGAAAAATGTCAAATTTATGTGTTAGCAACATTTTGGTTGAATATAAGATCTGTACCCTATTGGGTATATGTATAAAGGATCTCTTTATTGTGTAATTTTCTTGTGGGGTAATCAGCAAACCAAAGGGTAATTTTCTTGATGTTGCATTACTAAAGATCATTTCAAACCAATATAAAAAAAAAAAGTGTTTGTAATTGTTAGTGTACATTATATTGTGTTTATATGTGTATCTTGTATAGCCCAGTATAGTAGTCCGGTAGATTAAGCCCATATGCGCTTCGTAACGTTATTTATTTTGATGAATGTATAAATATAGGTAGATCCCTTTGAAGGAAGAAATATAAGAATAATTATCTACAAGATACAATAATAAATGGTAGAAATAATTAAATATATTATGCTAATACACATCTTTCTTGAAATGCATAAAATACATAAGACTATTGGTTTTAATATAAAATACTAGTTCTTAAACAAATAATAATCTAAAACAAGAATTTTGAATAACATTGTTTTGAAATATTATGAGAATGATTGTTGTATAAAGCAAGATCCGATGCATCATGGTCATTGTGTATCCGGCAAGATTTGATAAATGATAAAGTGATTTTAGATTTTAGATTTTAGAAATCAAACACCACCATCAAATTTATCTGTTACATTTATTCATCACTACGTTCTAGACCAATTTGGCTACTGTCGTACATTTTTGTTATTTTTTTTATTATTATTTTTTTTTTATAAAAAGACTTTATTCAATTTAAATATATAGATGATATAGACCCATGTATATGTGATGGATTAAAAGTTAAAACAACCAGATATCATACATGTGATATGACAAAAACCCATCATTAATTCATGTGGATACACTTTTTTAACTTAATTCAGGTGGATACACTTTTTAACTTTATTAAATTACATTTAGATGTGAAGTGACATTTTATATGTATATTAAACAATGCAATTATATATATATATATTTCTACGTGCATTAAAACATTGGTTGTTCACAAAATGAACCAAACAAATTAAACCCCATTATAGGTAGCAAATATGACAAATTCTTCACAAATGCACCCAACATAATTAATCTCCAGCTGTAATAATAAATATACGAAAGAAAACTAAGTTTCAAAAACATGGAGGTCTCAATCTTCTACCCTCATTCCTTCCATTAGAGTCCAAACCCGAACAAGGGCTTGACTGGGTCGGAGGCACAATTCGTCCATCCTCAAACAACGAATTTGATAGCTCCCCAAAAGGTTGAGCTAACGCAAGCTCATCAGGCCCATATATCAATGGACCATGCTCATGACCTCGTCTGTGCTCCTGAGCAACTCTTCTTTCTACTTCTAGTAGTCTTCCAAGGGGTACAGTGTTGTTTCTAGCGATATCAACATCAATGTCTTTTCGGCATAAACAAAAACGGAAACACCAAAGTTTTGATTTGAGGTTTGATCTTTCGTTGTTTCCTAAAGTTATGGATTCTGAAGTTCTCCTACTTCTTAAAGATCTTCTTGATAGCTCTACAATGCTTGAAACACCCAAAAGATTTCCTAACGTGATGCTCTTGTCATGAAAGAAAGACCCTGTTGACTAGATACAACCAATAATAATCTCAAAATAAGGTCACAATATTTTTAACTTGATTTAGGGTCAAATCCAATAATGTAATGCTATATATAACCACTTGCGAATGTAATGGAAGTTGTATACTGATATAGCCATATAGGTTTGTTGTAAAAGATGCCTTGCTAGACTTAATCTGGTATACCGAACATACCCATATAAAGGATGACAGTGACATGTGAAGGGAACAAGCTTCTTTCGGGGTCAGTAATGTCATTTTAAATGTCTTATAGATTCACTAGTTTCAAGGAAAAGCAATTGATCATCTACTACCAAGGGCAGAAATTTGGTGTTATCTTCCATATATGTCTTTATATACGTCTCATTCCAAAAGAAGCTTGGACCGAATAAGACAACTAGAAATACGAAACAAGAAATGGCTGATGAATCATGTACTAATTTTTAAGAACTCTTGTGACTTCAAGATTCTCATCTTTTATTCTTTTATACATGCTCTCTCTCTCTCTCTCTCTCTCTCTCTCTCTCTCTATATATATATATATATATATATATATATATATATATATATATATATATATATATATTTAAACTCATTAATTTTTAGATTGAAATGTTATATAAAATGTTTTTAGTGTCATGAAAATTACACTCTATTATATATATATCTATTATATATATATTTAACTATTTTAGCCTTTTTAGAAAAATGAGAGAGATTTAAATTTATAGCCATTATATATATATTTGTAAGGATTCACTGGATTGTGACATTATTATTATTGTATATTCCATATAACTCTATTAGTCTTTATTATAAATCTAATAAATTTCAAGTCTATAAAGTTCAATAAAACATATTTAAATATTTATTTGATTTTTTTTTTCCAATTTAAAAAGTTTAATAATCATTGAACTCCAAAAAAATTAAATAAAATAACATCTTAGGATGATATCTATCTAGGTTTGCAAGCTCATTCAATTTTTCCATTAAACTTTATATTATGGCTTCTAAGATTTACAATATGGATCCTTATATGTTTTTCTAGCATTTAAAAAAAATGAAAAGAGATTATGATTTATGATGAATCTCCAAATATGTTGGTCATGTTACCGGTTCAATAAAAAAAAAAATGCAAATTTAGGAAGCACTTTCATTGTTTACCGCTATGTTATGCGTGAAAACGAGATATAAAAGTAATGCTAAATCTATGTCAAAAAGGCAAATTCTTATATTACAACATTTATCATGTTGTCCTCAGAACGCGTAGGTATCCAATATAAGACTATATTTAGGTACCAACATGATTTTTAAGAACTCTTGATCCTGAAAAATCATGACTTTTTCGACTCAATGGAGGAAGTTGGATCCAAAATTAGATTATTCTAGCAAGTTTCAACCACTTCATCACCGGTGACAGGCAATGGATTAATAAATAAAAGAAAATAACGCAATAAACATTGAACATAAACACAAATCAAACCTGTGTATCTACATCTGAAGACGAATCTGAGGTTAATGCAGGAGAGCCACTGAGCAAAGTGTTGCATGAGATTGATCCTGAGAAGTCATAGTCTCTTGGTCTCATATTCAAAGGCCGCAGTCCTAAAGGCCACCCCCCTTCTTCCTGCATTCAACTCAAAATGAAGAAAAAAAAAAAAACGAAAAAGAAAACCGCTAAATGTGTATCGTTAGTAACAATGGCGATAGGAGATACCTGTTGAGCCATGTAGAAGCTGAAAATGGTTTATCGGTGTTGATGAAATATGGTAACTAGGTGTAGTTCAATCAAAGAGAAAAGTGTCATATCATATCAGTTAGAGGTGTTCTTTATCTCAAATAAATACAATGAGATTTCGATGTTTTGGCGATGAACAGATGGGTGCTATATGGCTTCAAAGAGGAAAAAGACTGAACCATGATGGGGTCAAAAAGGAATGGTGTGGAGATGGGACATGTCTTATTATTATATCAATTAAAAACACCCTTTCCCATTTGTTGCCTTGCTTTTATTCTAGGGTATTTTATTGTTTAAGGAAAAGAATAAGTATATCACCTGCTCTTCTTAGTCTATTTATAACTGGAATATAACCTCTTTTGAAACTTAAACCATCAATCTAGGGCAATAAAGCCAGGTGCAATGAAATTTGTACAATCTAGACATTATAATTGTCTTTTTTCTTTTATTTATTTATTTATTAAATTATTTTTAATTACCTTTTTTGTTGTACATATATAGGCATAAAACTTGCTAGTTTAAAACCTGATGCGTGGTCAAACTTTAGAATGATTTGTGTACAAGGAAAGATTATTGACTCATTACATATTGAAAATTTTAGGTTTAGGTAAGGTGTGCAACATCAAATTAGGTTTGATATAATAGTTTGCACCAAACTATATTGTAGTGGCAGTTGAATATATATATATATATATATATATATATATATATATATATATATATATATATATATATATATATATATATATATATATATAAAAGATCAATTGAAAAAATAAAAAGATTAAGAATTGGAGAATTATTCTTAACCAACAATTTATTTTTGTCACAAAACTTTCCATCGTACAAGCGGAAAGGAAAATGAAATACACATGTGTTTTTCAAACCTGTAATATGTCTCCTTAAACTATGTTAATTATTACCATAATATATACAAACAACTTATTTTTTTGTGTTTTTATTAAATTTTTTAATAAGCTAGTTTTATTAAAAATCGATTTTTAAATATATATAAATTCATAATTTTGTATTCTCTATAAATAAACATTCATAATGATATAATTTTAACATAAAATATTTTTTGTATAGTTTCATCTCTTATTATTCATAAGTGAATAATAGCACATCAAATTTTTATTACAATACATTCATTATTCACTTATTAAATTTTATAATAAGCTAGATTTATTAAAAATCATTTTTTAAATATATCAAAATTCATAATTTTACATTTTCTATAAATAAACATTCGTATTGATATAGTTTTAACATAAAATATTTTTTTTATAGTTTCAACTATCATTATTTATAAGTGAATAATAATACATCATATTTTTATTACAATACATTCGTTATTCACTTATTAATAAAATGTATGCTTAATTTTTTATAGTTTAAGTATCATCCATATATGAATATAACATATAATAAGGTTTTTTCTTACTTAAAATATATTTTTATTAATATTTAAATAAAAGTGTATCAAATTTTTATTATAATATATTTGTTATTCATTTATGTAACGACCAAAATTTTCAAGAAAATTTAAACTTTTCAAAAACAACTCATTTTAATAATGTTATTACAAAAAGGTTTTCAATATATTTATTATCAGAGTATTCCCAGAACCATGTCATAAACATAAACACGAGGAGCGGTACGATCACTCCTTCGCCTTGCTACGGTCTCCCGAAGTACCTGAAAAACATTAAACCACAACTGTAAGCTCGAAAGTTTAGTGAGATACCCCCAAAATACCAACCACATATAACATGTTATATCATAACCGAATCACAGAACAGCCATGCATATCGGGTCTACTGTGTGACTGGTCCGCCGTATCGGGCCTTCAGTCCACCGGGTCCACCCTCC